GATCTTTAACAAGATCGGTGTAAATTCCTTCTAGAAAGGTTTTTCCAGATCTAAAGGCTAGAAAAAAATTTTTTAGGAAGGATAACGAATATTTTCTTTAGTTTGGTTTAAAGTTTGTATATTGTAATGAACTCGTTATTCTATATTTTCAATTTTTCTCTTGTGAAGATTTTTTAAAATTATACTTGTAAGTGCGGTTGCATAAAGTTCAGCTTTGCCATCGCCCCCTGGATACAAACAAACCTGGAGCGTTCATTTTGCTAATCAAATTATTTTATGTGACTTATATTTTTTTTCTATATATATATATTATATTAATATATATATATATTTTAAATATTTTTATTTATCGACGTTTAAACACGTCTCATATATATAACATAACCCCCCATAAAGAAAATATCTTTTATACCGCTAGAACTAATTCTACTATCAACGAGCTGACTGGGTCGCGTTCCGTGATTTCCTCCGCGATGTCCCCTGGGATGGAGTCTTTACGCTCCCCGTCCAAGAATGTGCTTCTGAGGTCTCATCCTGGGTTAAAGCTGGAATCGACGCTTTCATCCCATTCCTTCATGGAATATAGGGTCAAGTCGCGCTCCTCCCCCTGGTTCTCCGCTGCTTGCCCAGCCGCCATCGCCCATAGGAACCACTACTTCCACCTATTCCGTAGCGACATGTCTGACTGCATATAGACGTCTCTTTGCCTCCGCCCGTAACGAGTGTAAGCGTGTCCTCAACGATGCTAAGTCACTATTTGTGGCTCGGATGAAGGAGGTATTGCATCTCAATCAAATTTGGCTAAAAAGATTATTGGCGTCTCTGCAAGAGCGTATTGAACAATTGCAAACCCTCTATACCTCCTTTATTCAACCAGTTCGAAGTCCTGACCTCCTCTACCGACAAGGCTGAATGCTTTGCTCGGAAATTTTCATTCAACTCGACGCTCGACTCTTCCGATGTACCCATATTTGACTTCCCTCTTAGAACTGAGGCCCATATTGAGTGGGTTAAACATAACCCTTTTTATTGGGCGTTATCTCCAATTTAGACCCCCCAACAAGGCTAGTGGTGGAGATGGGATACCAGCCATTGTCTTGAAGAAATGCGCGCCTGAACTGGCGCCCGCCCTTTTCTAAAAACTATACAACTACTGCCTCAAGGAATCTTGTTTTCCTGACTGCTGGAAGTCCTCTTCGATTGTTACTGTCTTCAAGAAATCTGGCGACCCCTCTGACCCTTCTAACTACGGTCAGTCTCCTACCCCTCTTCGGCAAAGTCTTCGAAGCCCTAATCAATACCGAGGTGGTTAACCACCTCACATCCCATAATCTGCTCTCAGACAAGCAATATGGTTTCCGCTTTGCCCGATCTACAGCTGATGTGCTTACGGCCATCACTGAAACTGTCTACTGAGCTCTTCAAAATAACGGGGAAGCTCGTGCCGTGGCCCTAGACATCTCCAAAGCATTTGATAGGGTTTGGCATGCCGGCCTTCTTCGCAAGCTCCAGGGTTATGGCATTACGGGTCAATTGTTTGACCTAATACAATCATTCCTGTCAAACCGTGAATTGAAGGTCGTTCTCAACGGATTCTCCTCCAGTTCCTATCCCACGAACGCAGGTGTTCCTCAAGGCTCCATCCTAGGCCCCACTCTATTCCTTATCTACATAAATGACCTTCCTGACGCCATAAATTCCCAAGTTGGCATCTACGCGGATGACACCACAATTTATTCCTGCCTCAAAAACAAATCTAGTGTCACTGACAAAACTAACCTGGCCGTGCGTCTCGAAAAGGACCTCCAATCGGTTGTGAACTGGGGCAGGAATTGGCTGGTCAACTTTAACGCTTCAAAAAACAAAACTGCTCTCTATTAATCACCACAGAGATCCTTCCCTGCCCTCCATTAGAATGTCTGACGCTCAACTTCTCGAGAGCAACTCTCTGCGGCTGCTCGGTCTCACGTTGACTGCTGACCTGAGATGGAACAAATACATTGAGTCAATTGCTTCGTCCACTGCAAGGAAAGTTGGCTCCCTGTGCCGCGCCAGGAATTTTTTTCTCCCCGGAATCGATCCTCCAGATCTACAAATCAACAATTCGCCCTTGCATGGAGTATTGCTGCCATATATGGTCTGGTGCCCCTTCTGTTTGCCTCGGGGTTCTTGATAGGCTCCAGAGGCGGATATGCAATATAATTGGCCCTGCTCTGGCATCTCGTCTACAGTCACTTTCTCACAGACGCGCCGTCGCCTCTCTCTGTCTGTTCTACAAATACTTTCATGGAAATTGCTCCGAGGAGCTGCATTCGCTGGTTCCCAGACGTCATGAGTTCAAGCGCCCTACGAGGATGGCATCCCGCTCTCACCCCTTCACTGTCGAAACTCCTAAATGTAGCCGTCTCTTCTACTCCAATAGCTTCATGTCTCGCACCTCTCGCCTGTGGAACTCCCTTCCCTATTCCAGTTTCCCTGAGAGCTATAATCTCCAGCTATTCAAGTGTAATGTCAATCGACATCTCCAGTTGCCTTGATCTATCCACTACCCTCCTCCTCATCCTTTCTTCTATCACTCCTATCTGATCTTGCTCTAAATTTTCTGTAACCCCTTGCGTCCTAGTGGCTTCCCGCCTTGCTTGGGGTGAAATGCTTAAAAAAAAAAAAAAAAATATATATATATGTTAAAGTTTATAATATATATATAAATTATCGTCTATAGTAATAAAAAAATAATATAATAGTATAGTAATAAAAAAATAATATTATAGTAATAAAAAAAATAATATTGGATTATAGATAAAATCCATTAATTTCTTATCCATTACGAATATAATGAAAATATAATTGAATTAATTTACATTATTCGGAAATATTGTCTTCATCTTTTAAAAATAAAAAATAACAATGATTTTCCGCCGTTGTACGCTAATATTTTTTCTGGTGGTTGGAATGTCGACAATAAATATTTTTATTTCGCTAACTAATAGGACTATTTATATAAGTTCCACGTGCCATGTTTAATGGAAATAAGTTATCAGTTATCTCCTGTTAAATTCCCCTTACCAAGTTCTCACTGCCTTAACCTTAATAAAACTCACACTCTTTGGGTCCTGTCACTGGATCTAACCAACGCCTTTATCCACTGGGCCATGCGTCCTTGAGGATACACAGTGGATAAAAAAATGCTTTTTAGGTCGGATAATGAATGTTTTCTTTAGTTTGTATTAAGTTGTATATTGTAATAAACCGTTAGAACAAAATGGGTTGAAACATTTGATATTCAAACCCCAAAGACACAAACCATTTTCCGCTATCGCGACAAATTTGATGCCACTGGCTCAATTCTTAATGCAATATCAAACTGGCCAACAGTTTGAAAAGAGGAAAAAAAGCAATATTTTTTTGTTACCGGGGTATTTAAAATAAAACAGTCTGAAAAAAGTTTTTGAATTTAACCTCGGCAAAATTGGACATTTTTTAACCTCTATTGATACAAATTCTGAAATCTATAGCAAAAACTTATCGTCCATGGCTAATTAATTAAGATTTATTGAATAACCCAGACAATCAAATAGAAAATTATTTTAGTGGAATCATGTTGAAAGCAATTAAAGAAAATTCAGTAATTTTAGTGTCATGCCATATACCTATTCTAATATATAAAAATAATAAAATATAGATAATTATTAATATATATGGTGGTGGCGGTCGCCAGTTCGATTGATAAAAAGCGCGTCAGACGATATCGGACATGATGAATTACCAACCATCACAAAACTAGATTTGCAGCGAATTTAGCTCTTATTTTCAAGTGAGAAACGTTTTGTACGTTGAAACTAATTTAGGAATTTTTTTTTGATTGAAATACAAGCCTCAAAGTGGAAAACTATCCACGTTTTTTAGATAACATTGTGTGGACCGATTAGGCTTCTTACAAATTATTAGGTCTTATTGACCGTTATATTTTGTTTTTTTTTGGAAAAAAAACGATGCAAAAAGCAAGAGAAAATAAAGAAATAAAACGAGAGACAGGCACATAGAAAGAAAATGAAAAGAAAAAAGAAAAAAAAAAAATTTTCAATTGAAAAAGCAAATAGAAAGAAAGAATTTTGATTAAGGGGAAAAGCAGAAACAACAGTAAATAGAAAGGAAGAAATATACAGACATATACAGCGAAAAAACAGGAAAGAAAGAAAGAAAGAAAAAGAAACAAGGAAGCAGACAAAGAGTAACAAAAAAGAAAAAAATCAAGGAAGTGATGCAAATAGAAAAAAGAAAGAAAGAAAAATCAGAAAGCGAGAAACAGACAAATATAAGCAAACAAGCAAAGACAGAGAGGTACAAAGAAATACAGATAGGACGGAAAAGAAAGAGAAAGAAGAAAAGGAAAGACAGAGAGAGAGAGAGAGGGGGGAGGGGGAAAGAGGCAGAAAGGAGACAAATAAAGCAAAAAAGAAATAAAACAGATAACGATCTGGTTGATTTTGTTTAGCAGCTTATCAACACCTCTATGGGTTATTTATTGCCGAAATCTAAATATTTTGAACACAATTTTATGGCTTCAACTACAGATGAAATGTATTGTTGGTCATTTTGATATAAATTGCATTGTTGGTTATTCTACTATAAATAGGTATTGTTGATAATTTTACTATAAATTGCTATTTTGGGCAATTCTTTTTTACTATAAATAGGTATTATTATACTTTCATAGTATTTTGGAAGGAAATAATGAAGAATGACTTGATCTATTTCTCACTCAAACTCTCACTCAAACTCTCACTCACTCTCTTCGTTTCTTTTAAACGAAAAAGAGAGACAGAGAAGCAGAGAAACAAGTAAAAGAAAAGCAAAAAGAAAGAGACAAAGAAAGTGATAAAACAAAGAGGAACAGAAAAAAGGAAGAAAAGAATAAAAAATGACTTGATCTCTCCCTTCTCCCTCAATTTCTCTCTGTGGAATATTTAAAATCTCTCTGGTCTCCTTTCTACATTTTTTTAAAATAAAAAAGATATGGAAACAGAAAAAAGCAAAAGAAAGGCAGAAAGAAAACGGCAAAGAAAGTGATATAAAAATAAACAAAGGAAAAAAAGAAAAAAGGAAGAAAAGAACAAATAATGACTTGATATCTCTCTCACTCTCTTTCTCTTCATTTCTTTAAAACGAAAAAGACGGAGAGGGCAACAGAGAAAGAAGCAAAAGAAAGACAGAATGACAAAAGAAAGAGACAAAGAAAGTGGTAAAGAAATAAACAGAGACACATAGAAAAAAAAAAGAAGAATGAAGAATAAGTTGATCTCTCACTCTCTCTTTCTCTTCATTTCTTTAAAAGCGCGTGAGAGAGAGAAAGTGAAAGAGATAGATAGATAGATAGCTAGATAGATAGATAGAGAGAGAGAGAGAGTAGATCATTTTATTTTAATCGTTTTTATGACTTTCTTCCGGTTTATTTTCTCCAAGCCGAGGCGATTCGACTATTTTGGAATTCGTTTCTTTCTGTTTTTTAATATAGGTTTTAAGAGCGTTGCCAACCTTTCCGATTTTCATTAAATGACCAAAGCGTTCTTTTTCTGCCAACTTGACTGTCTTCACCACGGCCCTGTCCCTTTCCTGTTGCACGAGGTAAATCTCTTTGGGTTTCTTGCCTAATGACGAGAAGGCCAAAGGATCGAAACATGTTTTCATGAGGGTGGACAAGTTGCGTCGGTCGTTATTGCTCACCACAAACTCATGGGAGACCAGCCAGTCACACGTCTCCTGCGCCAAGTTATGCATACGATCAAACTCAGCAAACAACTCTTTACGTCTTTGCATCTCCTTCTCTGTCGGTAAACAGTATTTATTCTTTCTGGGCTTCTCCCGTACTAACTTGTTGGGGTTCAAACGCAACGCCCCTTCGGTAAAGGATTCCTTCTCGAACGTCGGGATGTTTGGATTTGTATCATGACGTGTCCATCTTAGCGGGTATGCAAGTTGGGGCATGCAAATATCCTTAGAAGTACATTTTTTGCCTCTTGTTAAACCTTTACTACAATGTCTGTCTAAAAATAAAGTAAAAAAAAAAATACCATATAGATATTTATTAAGCTTAAGTCTGCCAGTCATTTATTTTATTTTATAAAAGTCCCGAGAGCCACTCAAGAAAGAGCTGTTATGAATATAAGAAGAGAAAGTAGGAAGTGAAGATTATTAGGATAAGGAGGATAGATAACGATTGATCCTTGACTTGAAGAGGTTAAGATTGTAGTGTTCGGGGAAGCATCCACGTGGGAGTCTGTTCCACAAATCACCGGTTCTTGGGGAAAACTGAAATACCGGTTGAATTAGGGTAGTGCGCCTCCATGGATGCAGAATGGCAGGTCTTTGATGTACCCGTATGAACTGGTGGACGTATAGAATAGCGTTTCATTCGAACATTTGCTATAGAAATAGCAACAGAGTAATAATAGGTTTACGACATTACACCTGTGTGTAAAAGGCCTCTTAAATGACTTTGAACTTTTTCAAAGATAGAAAATGAGGGTTGAGCATCTCCAACCCAGCAAAAATCCATTTTTTAGCCCCCATCTGATTCTTACAGAGATAAAGAGTCAGGTACTTTCCGGAACGGAATGAAGCCGATCAGTTTTCCAGCATATATACATGTAGGATACAAGTTCGATTCCTGTCGACAGACGCATATTTTCTATGAGAATTTCTCTGACATTCAGGCCGGTAAATGTTGTTAATACTGTTTATTATAAACAGAGCATTTACTTAAATATTTGTGTCTATATAAATAACGTATAACAATAAAATATATTAATATACACCCCCAGTCAAAATCTTAAGACTAGATACAAAAAGGTTAAAAAAAATATAAAATACTGTTACTTTAAACAAAATATATTTCCGAAGCATTTACATTTAATTAGAAAATGTAGTTTATCAATAAACAAGTGAAAAATTTAAGCTTTTAACGGATTAATTTAAACTTGGTTTCAATTTGGTCTTGAGAATTTGACCAGGGGTGTATGTGGAGGTGGGTGAAAGATAAAGAGAGATGGAAAGATTGCCGAAGGCAAACTTAGCAGAGAGGAATAAACAGACAGAAAAATACGTTCTAATTCATATGGGTATCGTAGATTTTAGGAACAAAACAAATGGCCTAATTGCTGAGAGACCAGAGATGGGTTATAACATCACTTTGTTCACCATAAGGCTTGGCATTCGTGCTTCACCTGGAATGGAACTATGTAGGAAGGAAAATTGGGAGGAAATTGACACCAAGGATACACCGTTCAAGTAGAAAGAAAGAAAGAAAGAAAGAAAGAAAGAAAGAACGAATGAAGGCGATAAGAAAGAAAGAAAGAAAGAAAGATGGAAGGCAATAAGAAAAAAGAAAGAAAGAAAGAACGAAGGCGTTAAGAAAGAAAGAATAGAAAGAAAAAAGAAAGAAAGAAAAGAAAAATGGAAGACAATAAGAAAGATGGAAGGCGATAAGAAAAAAGAAAGAAAGAAAGAAAGAAAAGAAAGATGGAAGACAATAAGAAAGAAAGAAGGCAATAAGAAAAAAGAAAGAAAGAATAGAAAGAAACAACGAGGGTGATAAGAAAGAATGAAAGAAAGAATAGAAAAAAGAAAGAAAGAAAGATGGAATGCAATAAGAAAAAAGAAAGACTGAAAGAAAGAAAGAAAAAAGAAAGATGGAAGGCAATAAGAAAGAAAGAAAGAAAGAAAGAAGAAAGAAAGACGGCAATAAGAAAAAAGAAAGAAAGAATAGAAAGAAACAACGAAGGCGATAAGAAAGAATGAAAGAAAGAATAGAAAAAAGAAAGAAAGAAAGAAAGATGGAATGCAATAAGAAAAAAGAAAGACTGAAAGAAAGAAAGAAAAAAGAAAGAACGAAAGAACGAAGGCGATAAGAAAGAAAGAAAAGAAAGAAAAGAAAGAAAGATGGAAGGCGATAAGAAAAAAGAAAGAAAAAAGAAAGGACGAAAGAAGGCGATAAGAAAAAAGAAAGAATAAAAAGAAACAACGAGGGCGATGAGAAAGAAAGTAAAAAATAAAGAAGGCAATAAGAAAAAAGAAAAAGACAGAAGGAAAGAAAGAAAGAACGAAGGCGATAAAGAAAGAATAGAAAGAAATCAAGAACGAAGGCGGCAAGAAAGAAAGGTGGGAAAAAAGAAGAAATGAAAGAAGGAAGCAAACATAAGATACAACAAAACAAAAAGAAGATGGCACAAGCAGCCTTTGTTTTACGTTGCGAATATGAAATAACAAAGTCGAATAAAAAAAATCACCTTGCAGATTTTCCCTCATAGTCAATAGATGAAGTCGTGCTTATTTCGAGAAAAGAGTCTAAAATGCAAACAAGGTGTATCTTCTAAAATTCTTATCCTAAAACGATGTGATTACGTCATCTGTATTTATAAATATTAAACGTCATAAACACTGTATTTGTCAACACAAGACACACATTGAGGTGGAGCTAAAAGCGCTTGAACGATACGAAAAGGTCTCGGGAGCCAAGATTAACCACGACAAGTCTTCCTCCGACAAATCGAGCCGCTCACGTAGAGGATCCTTCGCGACCCCCTCCACTAAATAACGATAGAAGACCTTCCTAAGCTGTGAACGCTCACTGGACCGAGGAATCATCGTCGAGGCGTATAGATACTCGCGAAGGAAATCCGATTGATCCTGTGGTTTACGACGGCGCTCAACCTGCGAGATGGGGGGACTGATAGTAAGGAAAGGGAACGCGTCCCTTACAATCTCCGCCATAATCGAATCTCCTGTCAATGCGCAGCATAGGAAAGCCAACCTCGAGGCGAGTTTGTGGCTCGCCAAGTGTGGCATTCCCAGTCCCTCATGACACGGACGTTGTGCACAGACTTCTCTGTCGACCTGATGTTTGCGTCCCCTCCGTAAAATGGAGGATAGCGAGCGCTAAAGCGGCTCCTTATGGTCTTTACGGAGAGGAAGTACGGACAATCGATAAAGGACAATCGGGAAAACGTATGCGGCACATGCTTCCGCCCTGCCCTTCACGGACAACCTCCGTCGACGCCAAGTCTGACCGGCTGCGTCGACCTTTGCTGGTACTTCAGACCAATTTTTCTCCAGCTGGAGGTCGGGTCCAAACCACACTCCAAGAATGCGAACAGGACCGTCCGTCCCAGCGAAGGGAAGATCGATCCCCATCCAGGCACCTAACCGCAAGCCGGACGACATCGCGGTTAATCTTGGCTCCTGTAACCTTTTTGTACCAATCAAGCGCCTTCAGTACGGCCTCAATGTCGCTGCAGGACAACACAAAAGCAGATACATAATCGGCGTACGCGGAAACCCTGGCTCGAGCCCCGCCAGGAACGGCGATTCCACGTAGGGCCGGACTGCACGTCTTGTCCCTCAGCCGGCGAAGAACAGGCTCCAAAGCCAAAGCATAAAGTAGGGGCGACAGTGGACAACCCAGACGAACCGACCTAGACAGCGCAAAAGCGCCCGATAGCTTCCCGATCACCTATACTACAGCACTGGGGGAGCAATACAGGAGGCTAATACAGCGGTAGAAGTCGGGTTCGAATCCGGCTGCCATCAAATGCCTTGGACTGATGTAAATTGATCAGCGCGGCTTCATCATTGTCTTTTACACCCTCTATGATCGTGCGGATCAGATGCAGGTTGCTCTGAATTGTTCGGACCCTCACAGAACAAGTCTGCTCAGGACCCAACAGAGACTTGGCAACTGACTGCAAACGAACTTGCAGGATCTTGGCCAAAATCTTTAACTCTGTGTTTAGCAGAGTTATGGGCCTATAATCATCTAATTCCCGCCCTAACATCCTTGCACTTTTTCAACAGTGGGATAACACCCCTGGTGAACCGGTCGGGGATAGCACCCTACCGGAACCAGTTGTTGAATATAACCGTCAAAATCGGGAAAATGATGTACGACAGCCTCAAGTACAATTCATAGGGAAAACCATCCAGACCGGGCGACTTGCCTCTGCCGACCTTCTTCAATGTCACGTAGACTTCGCCCTCCGTAATCTCTCTCTCGCAGCTAGCCGCTTCAGTCGAGGAAAGTCAGCCAAATAGCTGCGAAACTCGTCATCACGAAGACCAGGCTCCTTGGTAAGCTGGCTCTCGAAATGCCGCCGAAACGCCTCACACATGTCGTCAGTGGCCCGAAGAGTGTGTCCCTCTGGAGTTTTGACCTCACGAATGTGCCGATCGGACCTTCGGCGGATCTATTCCTTGAGCAATTCTGCGCCCATATTCACCGCTTCGAAAGACATCTTGCTTAACCTATATTTATTTACCTGGCCTATGCTCCAGGGTCTCCTTAGCTAAGGTTATCTCTACAGGATCCCCCCAGCTACCGCCCGGGAACAACTAACCTTAAGCGTCTCCACCTTTTCAATTCTCTCAAGGGCGAGCCGTTTGCTGAAATCAGTGGTGAAGAACCTAATTCTATTCTTAAGTCTCTCCCATCACTTATTCCCGATAACCGCCCCCACTAGCTCCCGCTGCACTAAGCTAGTTAGCTCCTCGAACATTTAAGGTAACACTTATTTAACGTGTTGAAATAAAATATTTTACCACGGAGCCAAAAAACAAGACGTCTTTCTCAAGTGAGATTAATTTTCTAAATGAGGATAATTTCCTCTAATTAAAAAGAAATGCCTTCTCTAATTAAAAAGAAATGCCTTCTCTTCCTAATTCAAAAAAGAGCGGCAAAACAAAAAACTGTCGTCTGCTTTGCCCTCAGACGCGTATCATTCAAAAATATCAATACATTAATATTTCTTACACATACATTTCACTACCGAAGTTTTTGAAATGTTCTCAAACTTAAATTTATTTCAATATATGAAAATTTTTCAAATAAAATTTCCAAATTTCTTCTCTCTCATTGTCTTTATCCGTTTAATATCTATTATCGGGAGGAAATACGACTTTCATAAACTTAGCTTTGTTTGAATCGTCTGTTTTTTTTTTTCTCATCATAAATTACACGATATGGACTAATCGCATCATGTATTCATTCCTTGCAAATCGTTCAATGTTTGGGTTCATTGTTTCAAATTGTGCAAGGGTTTTATTGAGTTGCGAGAACCCTTCTGATAACCCCTTGTGAGCATCCATTGTGGCTAATCCTCCTCTTTTTTCTCTTTTTCGGCCGCCATTCTTTCTTCTTCCGCAACTTTTTCTTCTAATTCTATCAACTCTTCATTTGTAAGTTCTCCTGATTTCTCATCAAGCAACTCCTCGACATCTTCTATATCACACTCAAATGAAAGGTCTCTTGTCAGTTTAACTATTTTGTCACGTATCACATAAAATTTGTTATCACTTTTAAACCCGTCAAAAATATTCATGTAACGCTTAACACAATTTTTCCAGACACCATTTATGCATTTTTCAGTCACATTTTCCCATGTGATAGCAACTATTTTTTATACACTTAAAAATATTATAGTCCTTCCAAAAGTCACGAAGTGATATTTCTGGGTCGGCATCTATAGCAGTTATTGCTTAGAAGGTGGCTCGCAGATAATTTGTCTTAAAGGCAGCAAATGAACCTTGATCCATAGGTTGAATAAGGAGGGGTGTTTAGAGACAAAAAAAAACACTTTCGCACTGGGACGAAGATCATTTAAGTACGTGGGATGTCCAGGCGCATTATCAAGCAGCTGTAAAATCTTGAAGAGGATTCCTCTCTCTAGACAATACTCATGCACTTGAGGAATAAAACAATTAATAAACCAGTCTTCAAACAGTCCCTGGGTCATCCATGGTTTGGGTCATTACGGTTTGAATGATGGTAGCCTGGCAAAGTGTTCTTGCTAATGTTCTTGAATGTTCGCGGGTTTTCGCTGTGGTAGATAACGAAAGGTTTAAGCTTGAATCTTACAATGTTGCCACCAAGTAGAAACATTAGCTTGTCCTTGAACGCTTTAAACTCAGGCATACTTTTTGTTTCTTTGTGAATGCAAGTCCGGTGCTGGCATCCGTTTCATCCACTTTAAAAGTCTGTTCTGCATGATAACCGTATTCCATAATTATTTCATCAAGATCGTTAACAAAGTTACGTGCTCCTTCCTCATCTGCACTCGTTGCTTCTCCAGTCACACAAACATTATGCAATTGGAACCGTAGCTTGAACTGCTTGAACCACCCAGTACTTGCCACAAATTCTTGCGTATATTCATCGCCGGCGTGTTCTTTTAACATCTGAAATAAACTTCTTGCTTTTGTCTGGACAGTATAAAGGCTCACTAACATCCATTTTTGAATTTGGTCTTCGATCCAAACGTCAAATAATTTCTCCATTTCATGGATAGACTCGGTACATTGCTTCCTAATAACGATAGAACGCATAGGGATCGAACCTTTCAAGGTTTCATGGATCCTTTCTTTATCCTTAAGAATCGTCGAAACAGTTGAATGGGATAAGTTCATATCACGTGTGATCACACAAACTTTGTTTCCGCCTTCATACTTTTTAACTTTCATTTTGGTATCCAGATCAATTGCCTTTCTTTCCTTCTTGGTAGGCTTAGCAGTAGGCAGAGATAATTTCCTCTTAGAAGACATCGTGGGATGTTTTGAAAGAAATTTTAGTAGACACGGATATAACCCGACTGTACTTTAACGGGTTACTACTGTATCTGAGAAATCTTAGTAAAAATATTTATGCAGTGTGCTTTGCCATTCAGCCAAGGAGGACATCTCAGCTAGGAAGGTTCTATTTCCCCTTTTTAAGGAAAGCACATTTTCAACCAGTGTACTTTCTTGAAAGCCACTCACTTTTGTATCTGGAATACAAATTTAATCAAATATTTTTATTATTTTAAATATCAGGGATCCATGATTATAATGTTGGAAGTAATAAAAATGTTACATTAAAAAGAAATCCATTAATTTTTTAGTATATATATATATATATATATGTGTGTGTGTGTGGATTCTGGTTAAATACCACATTTGCTACAATGAATATCCACTCAGTAGGATCAATTATGCAAAAACAGAATCACTTTTTTAAACTGGATTGTCAAGTTTACATAATCCCAGCTGAAAGTAAGAACTAATTAAACAAACCAAAACTTGTCATCTTGATAGGTTCTGAATAGGCAGACCCAACAATGTCAAATGATATATAATTTTAATTTTCCAGATCAAAAAGGATTTCAAACATTATTTTTTGCTTCTTTATCAAGTTTTCTTAAAATAAAAAAGTTAACCAGTTCCTGTTCTTCTCTATTCAGAGCTTGAAGCTGTAATTTCTTGAATCTGATATCCCAGTTTCG